TGATATCCAAATTTCTTGACTTCTCCCATCTAACTCAAACCAGCCAGTTCTTTCCAAAGACATTTCTCCATCTAACCTTCTTTCAGTCTCTTCTTTGGTACTAGCTTTCTCAAAACAGCAAGGCAATAGACACTGATGTTAGGACTTTTTTCAACCAGTTTCCCTAGAGCCTTAGACTTAGCTGGCATGTGGTGTGCTTCCTAGTTTTGCAGAAGATTGATTTCACCAAATATGGCTAACAATTGCATTACATGGGTTTCCAGCTTTCGAGCCTGAGATACCTAGTTTTTCACTACCTGTTACCGTCCACGAGGTCCAAGATACATACAGGTAGCCCTTGACTTACAGTGAGGTTTCATTCTGATGTGAGCTGAATACCTCTTTTTTTTAGTTTTCATTATTATTGCCTTTTATTACCAGTATATTTATAAATCCAATCTTTGTCTTTGGAGGTTGGAAATATTACATATAAACATCTGAGTGAACATCTGAGAATGATAACATCAGCAAATCATGCACTGCAACAGTGTATGTAGAGCTTATTAATAATGATAAGATGTAAAAAAAAAACAGGTGGTTGTAAGTGCGGTTGTTCGTAAGTCGAATATGTTGTATATCGGGGACTATCTGTACTATGTTTCATTGATTTTATAATCCATGTTTTCTCTCTTTTGACATCTCTGAAATGAGAATGCATGTTAAAATCTGTGGCGTAGCATAGTTTGTCAGTATTAAAAATATTTAGTAATACATGAAATAGTTGTGCGTCTTGCAATTCTTAGCTTCTTATCTTAGAAGAGGAGCCCTGGTGGCACAGTGGTTAAGAGTTCAGCTGCTAACTAAAAGGTCAGCAGTTTGAATCCATCAACCACTCCTTGAAAACCCTATGGGGCAGTTCTGCTCTGTCCTATATGGTTGCTATGAGTTGGAATCGACTCGATGGCAATGAGGTTTTTTTTTTTTAATGTTAGAAGAACTACATTATTATAGAATAATGTAATGGCAGCATTCACTTCTGATATCAATTTCTGTATTAGTGAAGGAAATATTAGCTGCTGTAAAAATTAGAACTTCTGCATTCAGTGGGATAACAAAATGAAAATTTACACCTCATTCTTCTAGGAGTTCAAAGAAGATTGTCCTGGTCACTGGGTCCTTGTCTTTCACATAGTGATTGAGGGAACTGGTCCTTCCAGATTGTAGCTCCACCATCCACTGGAGTCTTGATATTCTTTCCATCGTACTTTATGGAAGGGAAATAAATTTAGAGAAGGCACGCAACCTAAGGTCACACAACTAGTTAGTTGCAGAATTAGGAATTAAACTTGGGCATTCTGGCTTCAGGGCTGTCTTCGTTTATCTAGTGCTCCTATAACAGAAATACCACAAGTGGATGGCTTTAACAAAGAGAAATTTATTCTCTCACAGTCTAGGAGGCTAGAAGTCCAAATTCAGGGTGCCAGCTCCAGGGAAAGGCTTTCTCTTTCTGTCAGCTCTGGGGGAAAGTCCTTGTCAACCATCTTCCCTGGTCAAGGAGCTTCTCAGCACAGGGACACCGGGTCTAAAAGATGCACTATTCTCCTGGCTCTTGTTTCTTGGTGTTATGAGGGCCTCATGTCTCTGCTTACTTCTCTCTTAAGAGAGATTGACTTAAGATACAACCTAATCTTGTAGATTGAGTCCTGTCTCATTAATATAACTACTAACATAGCTGCCTCTAATCCTGCCTCATAATCCTACCTCATCATAGAGGTAGAATTTACAACACATAGGAAAATCACATCAGATAACAAAATGGTGGACAATCACACAATACTGGGAATCATGGCCCAGCCAAGTTGACACATATTTTTGGGAGACACAATTCAATCCATGACAAGGGTGCTTGCTCTTATACACTTTACTCAACTACCTCTTTCATTTCCATTGCTTCGTATCTAAACTGTCTTTTCGCTTTGGCCAATTTTAGAATTTCTCTTTATCTTTGGAGCTCTGAATTTTTACCAGGATGTGTCATTTGAAAAAATTCTCTTCTTTCCTATAAACCACCTCTGTTTTCTCAGAAGACAAGTCTTTTTTAGTCTATTTCTTTGGTTTATTTTCCTTGAATGCCTAATGATTCTCATATTCATATTATTAAAAAAAATATAGTGTTTAGTAAAAACGCTGATTTGAACTTCCCTAACCCGTTTCTCCCTTAAATGGGAGCGAAGGCTGATTATGAACTTCTAAGTGTATGTTTCAGGTGGAATCTGGGTGTTAAAAACAAGGCTCTGGGATCCCATTCCTTCACACATCATTGCATAATGATTTATCTGAAAAATAATTTATAATATAAATTTCTATATGGTAATCCTTGGGCATAACTAATGGATAAGACATAATGATGTAGTCAGATACTTCACTTAGAATCACCATGGGTTTCACAGCTACATATGGACTGTATTGGTGTTTCAAATACCAAGTTTGATTTTACTCTAGATGTTGTAACCTTTTGAAATGGTGAATAACTTTTGGGTTAAATTCCAAACAGAACAAAGGATAATCTTTAGGTACACTGCATTGCATTAATTTTAAGTATATCAAAACTGTGTAAACAGACTTTGTATTTATTTATGGGATTTAGTTCTAGGCTTATAAAATTATAGCTCTTTAACTTGCATGAATATCCAGTAAGACATTCAAAATTCATGCAAGATACAGAAAATTTTTTCACAGTGCGTGAACTGAAGGCTTTTAGCATTTCTATACTCCACCATGAAATGCCAGTGTCACTTGCAAAATTTTCTAAAATGTCCTTAGTGGGTTGCCCTCCCCTGTTTTTGAACTATAGGGCTATCATTATCTCTCATCGGATTTATCCCCTTTTGTTACTATCATCCAGGAATTCTCTTTTCTTTTCCTGTGCAATTATGAGTATGTTATATTAAATGTGTAATTTCATTGACATCTTGGGAGGTGAGGGAGACAGATGTGTGCTTCACCCATCACCCTGAACTGGAAGTCTCCACCTGTTACCCTTTCTCTCCTGCACCTTCAGTCTCTCTTTCTACAGACTAGGCAAGCCTAAAGCCTGCTCAAGTTTTTTCTGTCTTAGAAAGACTTCCATGGATTTTGTACTCTCCTCTAGCTGTCCTACTTCTGTACTTTCCTGAAGTAACACATTCCTTGAAAAGGTAGATTATACTCATCATCTTTGCCTTCTCTCTTTTACTTCCTCTTCAAAACACTGATTTCAGTTTGTCCTCCATACAGACATTCTTCCCTGGTGGCGCAAATGGTTAAGCGCTCCACTACTAGCCAAAGGGTTGACAGTTTGAGCCCACCCAGAGGTGCCTCTGAAGACAGGTATGGCAATCTACTTCTGATATGTCACAGCCTTGAAAACCATATGGAGCAGTTGTATTCTGTACACATGGGATCTCCATGAGTCAGAATCAACTACACAGGCATTCTCCAAAGAACAGCCAAAGTCATCTTTTTAACAATGAAAATCTGATCAAGTCACTTCCCTCTCCACCATGCAGTGAAGTCTGCTTATCCTTAGAATGAAATTCCTACTCAGTATCCTGTCCTGATGTGTCAGCCTTGGCCTAACTCTGCAACCTCAGCTTATTTCACTCTATTTGTTTCCCTCAGCTCCTGTCACAGTGGACCTTTGCCATTTCCTGGAGTGTACCAAGCTCCTCCCTATCTTGGTACTTCACACTTTCAGTTTCTTCTTCTTGAAATACGTTTTGCCTGGCTCTTTGCACGACTGTTCCTTTCTATCCTTCAGTTCTCATCTGAGATGTCACTTTCTTGGAGATATCTTCTCTACAATCCTGGCTAATTCTTGGTTATTCTCTATCTTAGCACCCTTTTAAATTTTTTCATAGTGTGTGTCTTAGTCGTCTAGTGCTGCTAGAACAGAAATACCACAAGTGGATGGCTTTAACAAACAGAAATTTATTCTCTCACAGTCTAGGGGGCTAGAAGTGTCAGCTCCGGGGGAAGGCTTTCTCTCTCTGTCAGCTCTGGGAGAAGGTCCTTGTCATCAATCTTCTCCTTGTCTAGGAGCTTCTCAGGTGCAGGGACCCCAGATCCAAAAGACACGCTATTCTCTTGATCACGCTATTCTCCTGGTGGTTCTTTCTTGATCACTTCTCTCTTTTACGCCTTGAAAGAGATTGACTTAAAACACAACCTAATCTTATAGATTGAGTCCTGCTTTATTAACATAACTGCCGCAAATCCCACCTCTTTAACATCATGGAAGTAGGATTTACAACACATAGGAAAATCACATCAGATGACAAAATGGTGGAAGTCATACAATACTGGGGATCATGGACTAGGCAAGTTGACACACATTTTTTGGGGGGACACAATTCAATCCATAAAGCATGTAACATCATGTTAAAATATATAATTTTTGTTTATTTATTTCTGCCCACTAAAGTATAATCTCCCTGAGGGCAGAGACTACTTTGTCTTTTTTTTTTTTGACATTTATCCCTATCGCCAAGCACAGCGCCTGGCACACAGGAGGTGCCCACTAAAGAGTTGTTGAATACGTGCATTCTGCTTTTGTCCTCTCAGTTTGCAGAGAATGTACTTGCTTTGGCTATAAACATATTCCTAATAACCAATCCTGTGGCAATTTTCAGTCCTAACCCTTTTTAATTCCTTTGTGGCATTTGCCACTCTCCGTTTTGAAAACTCTCTTCCATTCTATAATATCATTGGACTTAGTTTTCTGCTTCCTGCTCCACTCTCAATGACTCATCTTCTTCCATTTGTCTCTTAAATATTAGTGTTGGAAGATGGGGAAGAGCTTGGTGCAATTAGAAGAACTAAAGGAAAAACAGCATGGCTAGCGTGAGGTGAGAACGGAGAAGTGAATGAAGTGAGGGCTTCGAGTTTATCCCACGACAAGAATTTGAGTGCAAATCAAATGAGGCCAGGAGCTTATTTGGGGAATGACCAGGAGTCACTGGTAGGTGAATGGGAAAGTAGAAAAGGGAAGGCAACCAATAAAAGTTTTGTTGTGAAACAGGTTTCCCAATGCACAGCTAAAGCCCACTGGGAAACTCTGGAAGCCAGTGTAAAATACGCTCCTTACTATTGTTTCACCGAGGGATGAGGAAGCTGAGTTGTTTATACATGGAGTCCCCTCACTGATTCTTTGAGTACTGTAACTGTGGGGAATTCATTCCCCACGATTTCTGGCAGGGAAGAAAAGCTCATATGCAGAGTATGTAACAATTCTGATAAGGGTACATTTCTGCCATCTTGAGTGTGGAAGAGATCTGATATAATCAAGTGGACAGTTGGTTTTCCTGAAGGATATTATCATATCAAGGGTTCAGCATAAGTCTCTGTTTTGAAAGATCCGATATTCAGCAATGGCAGTAGCTAAATCAGCTTGGTGGGAGAATGCCTGCAAAGCCTCCCATCTTTACTACCGTAACTAATCTCTTGATGGCCCATTGGGCAACTCTAACAGGCAAAAGACTGAGATTGGCTCATATCTATTGGATGAATCGTTCTATCTACCTGGTAGTTGAGCCTCCTGAGTAGTGGATGATCTCCTATGATCATGACTTGAGACATAAAGATCTGCACAGTTTGCACCCACTTCCATAGGTTGATTCACATATTTCTTACCTAGAACTCTTTGTCTCCAGTTTTCCAGTCTTGCTTCCTCTAGCTCCCTGACCAACCACCCAAATCATTTGCTGCTGCTCAGGAATCTCTGTATATCTTTACATCATTCCCTCCTCCTGCCCCTCATCCAGCTGATGACAAGAAGTACTGCCAGAGCTCTGCCGTTTGGAAGGATTACCCATCACCACTTTCTTGCTGGACTGTCACTGTTTGGGGACGTCGTGCAGCAACCGTTCATTGCGGTTTGCAACAACATATTGAGCTGACAAACCAAGAACCAGGCCCAAGTTTTTTTCCCTCTGTCTCTATCAGCTTGACATAGGAGAACCCATATGAGACCACAGGTGTGAGGTGAGAGAGAGGCATCTGAACATCAGACGTATGTGACATGGGATCCACTCACCTGTTTGTGTAACCCACTTGTGTCCACTAGGTCTGTTTGCCCATGACCTTTAACATACTGTGTCCACCATTCAACGGGTTGCTGCTGTGCCTGCCTGACTTTATACTTTAGAAAGGCTGACAATACTCGGCTCCTGATGGGCATCTCTGATTGCGTGTTGTTGTTGTTGGGTGCTGTTGAGTCAGTTCTGACTCATAGCGACCCTGCGAACAACAGAACAAAACACTGTCCAGTCCTGCACCATCCTCACAATCATTGCTATGCTTGAGCCCATCGTTGCAGCCACTGTGTCAATCCATCTCGTTGAGGGTCTTCCTCTTTTTTGCTGACCCTGTACTTTACCAAGCTCTGATTGCATAGTTACTCCATATACCATGGCCAAGAACTCAGTTACTACTAGAGTTGGTAGAATATCAAGAGTTGCTGTGGAGTTGGGAGCATGAGGGTCTTACTCACTTATGCCATTCCCTAACTCGCCCACCTTCCCAACAACACTTCCCTGCAGCTCTTCATCATTATTAAAATTTCCCTTTAAAATTCAGAATTCAAGACCCACCTCCTGACCCTTTTAGTCTGACTGTGGGAACTGCTGCTCTCTGGTCCCATAGTTTTCTGAGCCAATTCTGTCACACTGGTCAGTGTATTGTACTGTAATGATTGATTTACTTCTCTGTAAAACCCATGCATTTTTGCTTATTTTGCACCAAGTACAATACTTAGTAAAAAAAAAAAAAAAGGTGTTCCATAATTGAGGGGGAAAGAAACTGAGTGAGTATCTTAATTTTCTAAGGCTGTTGTAACAGAAATACAACAAAAGGGTGGCTTTAAAAAACAGAAATTTAGTTTTTCTGCAGTTCTGGAGCCTAAAAAGTCCAAATCAGGGTCTCAGCCATGTCAATTTCTTCCTTGTCAGTAGCCCCAGGCCTTCCTTTGTTCTTGGTGATCCTCACATGGCATCTGTATAACCCAGTATGCACTTATGTCTATGCTGCTTTTTATATAACTCAGAAGTGATTAGGTTTAGAATCCACTCAATACTACTACGACCCAACTGACCGATCGATTACATTACATTAGATTACATCATGGAAGGTGATTACATTACATTAGACTAGGTTACATCCACAGATAGAAGGGTTAGGATTTCAATACATATTTTAGGGGGCACAATTCAGTCCGTAACAGTGAAGAACCAAGCCCTAAGCCTGCTTCTATGTACGCTTCTCCAACTGGCCTACCCTACTGTGATTTATTCTACCTCTGATCTACACCAGTTTAGTTCATTATCTTTAGTACTCAAAGAACTTACACATTTATATCTCTAGCCCTGAAACCTCGTCCCTTTTCAGGTGATCTCTCGTAAGTCCCACATCCATCCTCTTGTGTAATCTAGGGTCCAAGGAATCATCCTTACCACCTCAACTTTCCCCGCTCTCCCATATACAATCTATTACCAAGTCCTGTCAAATTTATATTCAAATAATGACACATAAATCCGCATATCTTCAGCACTAAATACTGACATCTTAGGTCAAACCACCACCAGCTCTCTCTCCAGGACTATTTAGTAGGTTCCTGTGTATTCCTCCACATCGAATTTACGCTCTACTGAAGCCAGAGTAATCTATTCCAAATACAAGTAAAATCATATTATCACCAGCTTAAAAACCATCAATGGCTTATTTTTGTCCTTAAGACGAAAGCAAAACACCATCGTATGCATTAAAAGATTCTGCATAGTCTCCTATTTCTGTAACCTTATTTGGCACAACCTTACTCTTCACTCTCTCTGCTCCAGCCACACACATTTTTTCTGAATCCAGTACTATCCACACTCTTCCCTGTTACAGGGCCTTTGAACATGCTGTTCCCTCTGCCGTGAATGCTTGTTTTTGCTTTTTTTGGCTAGTTAACTACAAGGAAATACTCATTCTTTAGATCTCATTTCAAGCATTAATTCTTTAGTGAAGCAGCTTGTGATGTCTGTGCCTTTTGTCACATTGGTGATTTTAAATTTTTGTACGATGACTTAATTAACGTCTACCTTTGTCACTGGATTGCTCGCTCCGTAAAGATTGTTACTGTATCCATCTTTGTTGAAGGAATAAATGCCTTTCTTATTTTCCTTCTTCTTATTGCAGATCTGCCATTACACCAAATACAGTCATTTTAGAGGAGCCAAAATAGAAGACATTTGCCATGTTTAATAACCGCGAGTTCTATTCTAAGGCCTACACAACAGTAACGATGGGTAATTTTCAATATTTGATGTTTGTAGTTTATAAAAGGAGCCCTTGTGGTGCAGTGGTTAAGTGCTTGGCTGCAGCTGGAACCCACCAGCCACTCTGCTCCACGGGAGAAAGATGTGGCAGTCTGCTTCCGTAAAGATTACAGCCTGGAAACCCTGTGAGGCAGTTCTGCTTTGTCCTATAGGGTTGCTATGAGTTGGAATTGACTCGATGGCAATGAGTCCCCCCCTCTGATGGGTAGTTGATAAAACAACCATCTTGTAAAATACTCAGATTGAATAATATTAAAAATGATGGTATTGCCGTATCTTCTCCCCTAATAATAACTAGATGATATAGTTATTTCAAAAGTATTGATGGTTCAAAACAATTCAGTTCCCTCCCTCCCTCCCTTCCTCCTTTCCTTCCTTCCTTTCTTTTTTGCTTTTTAGGATTAAGACAACATACAGTGTTTTTAAAGAAAATGACACAGTTTATTTTGCAAGAAATGCCAAAAGCTCGGTAAGTACTGAAGTAGCGTTTAAAGAACTGTGAAATTTTATGCTCTGTGTATCCACATGTCTATAAACGAATACGCATGTAAATGATTGCTCAAGATCATCCTTTGGAGCAATTTGATGGTGGTGGAAAATCGTTCTTCTTCCTATAGTTGTCAGCAGCTGTCATTGAACAGACTGTTTCCTAAAGCAATTAGATAAATGAAACGGGGAAATAGTATTATATATATACCTGCATCCAGAATCACGGGCTTTAGAGCCAGATATTCTTGAGTTCAAATCCTAGCTCTGCCATTTTAGCGTTGGATAAGTTGATTTGCCTCTCTGTGCCTAATTTTCTTTATTATAATATAGTAATTGTACTACCAGCTTACGAAGGATAGCTGTAATGCTTAAATGAGACTATATTTGAAAAGGCATAACAGCTTGCCTGACATGAAGTAAGTACTCAACACATAGCTATTGATAATAATAATAATAACAAGAATAATTATAACAACCACACCATGTTTGTGGAAACTGCAATCTGTATGTGATCTTTATTTTAACTGTGGAATTTCTATTTTAGGTATTCCAGTTTATTAAATGATTTTGTTGAATCTAATTATTTTGTGATCGATGGAGATTCGTTGCTTGTCACATGCCTAGGTGACAAATCGTTCAAGCGAGGGCAGGATCTCCACTTCTTCTATCTGGTTGAATGCTATCTTGTGGACTTGATGAGGAATGGAGCACAGTTTGGTATCATTTTCTTCGAGGTAATATATGGTGTCTGATGTCTTTTTAGTCCTTTGGAAAATAGAACCAACTTTAAAAGCTATCTTTCTTAAAATCATTGTAGAAAATATAGAGAACACAGATTAGCAAAAGAAAAACATCACTTACAATTTCACAACTCAGAGTTTTCAACGTTTTATGATGAAATTTTTCCAATGTAGAAAAGTTGAAAGATTGTATAAGGAATATGCATATCCCCACCATCTAAATTCTATAATTACATTTTATTATACTCACTTTTTCATATATCTGTAAATATATCCGCGCTTCTCTTCATCAGTCAATCCATCTTTTGTAGAGCATTTCAAAGTAAGTTGTAGACATTACAATTTACTCATAAACATTTCAGCGTAACTAGAGTTCAATGTTTCTTTACAGTGTTTTTTTTTTTTTTTTTAAGAAAGTTTTATATGAAATGAAACATACAAATCCTAAGTGTACCACTCAACATCTGACATATGCACTACGGTGAGCTTTGCCCAACTCACGACAGTGGAGCTCACGGTCCATCAGGACGCTCAGCGCGACCAACGCCGCAGGGTGTCCTCTCGTGCTTCTCCTCCATCCTTCCTCTCTCCCCAACCCGTAAGCAGCCATTGTTTAGAGTTTTTCCTGCTGCATCTTAGTTTTCCTTGTTCTAGAACGTCTAATAAATGGAATTGTAGAGTATGAACGCTTTGTCCAAGGCTCTTCTGCTCAGCATATTTTTGAGATTCATTCCTCTTGTTGTGTTTATCAGTACTTTGTTCCTCGTAATTGTTGGATAATATTCCATTGCATGGAGCCCTGGCGGCGCGGTGGTTAAGAGCTTGTCTGCTAACCAAAAGGTTGGCAGTTTGAATCAACCAGGCGTCCCTCGGAAACCCTAAGGGGCAGTTCTACTCTGTCCTATAGGGTCGCTGTGAGTCGGAATTGACTCAACAGCCATGGGTTTGGTTTTTTTTTTTTTAGTTATTGTATAAATGTACTATAGTTTATCTGTGCTCCAGTTGAATGCACGTAGGTCCTTTCCATATTTTGTTTATTATGAATAAAGCTACTACGAGCTTTCACATGCAAGTCTGTGTGGCTGCATGCTCTGGTGCTCTACCTACTCGTCAACATTTGCATTTGGTCAGTTTAGCCACTCTGGTGGGTGTGTAGTGTTATGTTACCAAAAAAAAAAAAAAACCAAGAAACAAACCAAACCCGTTGCCGTTGAGACGATTCCAATTCATAGCTACCCTATAGGACAGAGCAGAACTGCCCCATAGGGTTTCCAAGGAGCAGCCGGTGGATTCCAACTGCCAACCTTTTGGTTATCAGGTGAGCTCTTAACCACTGCGCCACTAGGGCTCCAGTGTTATGTTAGTGTGGTTTAAATTAGCATTTTCATAATAACTAATGATGCTGAGCACTTTTTCAAGTACTTGCTGTCCATCCTTATAGCTTCCCTTATGTAGTATCTGCTCAAATCTTTTGCCTATTTTTATTGGGTTCTTTATCTTTTTATTATTGATTTGTAGGAGTTCTTAATATATTCTGGATCCAGTTACTTGTCATATATATGTATTGCAAATATGTTTTACAAGTGTGTGGCTTGCCTCTTTATTTTCTTAATGCTGTCTTTGGATGATCAACCGTTTGTATTTTGATGAAGTCTAATTTTACTATTAATTTATGGTTATTGTTCCCTGTATCCTGCTTAAGAAATCATTGCTTATCTCTTAGTCACAAAGTTATTCTCCTGTATTATTTCCAGAAATTTTATAGGTTTAGCTTTTGCATTTCAGTTTATGATATATTTTGAGTAAATTTGTGTATGTGTGGTATGTGACATAGGAATTGAGATTCGGTTGTTTCAGCCCCAATTGATGAAAAGATTTTTCTTCCTCCACCGATTTCTTTGTCAAAAATCAAATGACCATATTAAGTGTGAGCCCATTTCTTGGCTCTTTATTCCATCAAAAGATTTAATAATTTTTATACCAGTACCACAATGTTCTGATTACTTTAACTTTGTAGTAAGTCATGGAAAAACATTCTTTTCTGTTCAGCTTTGCTATTTTAGGTTCTTTGCATCTCCATATAAATTTTAAAATCAGTTTGCCAATTTCTATAAATAAACTTGGAGGAATTATATTCAATATCCATTAAATCTGCAGGTCAATATAGAGTCTTTTAATTTATGGACATGGTATGTATCTTCATTTATTTAGATAGTCTCTAATTTCTTGAGGCCATGTTTTATAGTTTTCAGTGGAGGGTTTGCACATTTTTTGTTAAATACGTATCTGAATATTTCATGTTTTGATGCTATTCTATACACTGAAGCTTTAAAAATTAGTTTTCTTTTTCCGTTACTACTGTACAGAAATGCAAATCTTTTTTGTGTATTGATCTAGTATCCTACGATCTTACTAACTCCACTTTAGAAGCTCTTTTCTAGATACCTTAACAGTTTGTACACGTCTAGTAAATAAAGACAGTTTTGTTTCCTCTTTTTCAATTTTATGTCTTAATTTCCTTTTTCTTGCCTTGTTACAGTGACTGGGAACCTCAGAAAAATGTTGAAGTGGAGTGACTAGGCATTTTTACCTTCTTCTTTATCTTAGAGGACAGCGTTCAATATTTCGTCATTAGCTCTAACGTTAGCTGGAACTGTTTTCATCAGATTGAGGAAATTCCTTTGTATCACTGGTTTTCTGAGAGTTTTTATCATTAATGAGCATTAATTTTTTTTTAAATGCTTTTTCTACATCTATTGAAATCATTGGAGCCCTGGTGGTGCTGTGGTTAAGCGCTGGGTTGCTAACCAAAAGGTCCGTGGTTTGAACCCACCAGCTGCTCCACTGGAGAAAGGTGTGGTAGTCTGTTTCTGTAAATATTAAACCTGTTGTGGTTGAGTTGATTCCTATTTCTATAGGACAGGGTAGAACTACCCTGTAGAGTTTCCAAGGCTCCAATCTTTATGTGGAGCCCCAGTGGCACAGTGGTTAAAAGCTCAGCTGTTAACCTAAAGATCAGCAGTTCAAATCTACCAGTTGCTCCTTGGAAACCCTATGGGGCAGTTTTACTCTGCCCTACAGGATCGCTATGAGCTGAAATCGACTCCACGGCAACAATTTTACTGAAAAATCCTATGACTTTTCTCCTTTATTTTAATTTGGTGATTTACGCTGATTGATTTTTGAATACTAATTTAACCTATAATTTGAGGGTATGCCCCAGTTGGTCAAGTTATATATTCTTATTATATATTGCTGGACTTGATTACCTAATATTTTGCTACTTTTTTTTTTTTTTTGTATCTGTATTCATGGGGAATATTGATCTGTAATTTTTTTTTGTAATGTCTTCGTCTAGTTTTTATGACAGGGTTATGCTGACCTAGTAAAAAGTTTTGGGAAGTGATTCCTCTTCCTTTACTTTCTGAGAGTCTTTGTAAGATTGGTGTTATTTCCCTCTTAGATGAATTTGATAAAATTTTCCAGTGAAGCCATGTGGGTCTGGAGTTCTCTTTATGAGAAGATTTTTGATAACAAATTCAACTGTTTTAATAGACTTAGGACTATTTAGACTTTTTTTTTGTCTTGTGTTGGTTTTGTTAGCTGTATATGTCAAGGGATTTGCCCATCTTATCTAAGCTGTCTAATATTTTGGCATAAAATTGTTTATAATATTCTCATTGTTTTTAACATTTGAAAATTTGTAGTGCTGTTTCCTTTTTCACTCTATATTATTAATGTCTTGTCTCATATTCTTGATCAATCTAGTTAAAGGTTTATCAATTTTGTTGATTGTTTTCAAAGACCTAGCTTTTTACTTTATTGTCTATATTGCTTGTTTTCTATTTCATTGATTCCTACTCCTATCTGTATTCATTCATTTGCGCCCCTTCTCTCATTTCTTTTTTTCTTCCTTTCCTCCCTTCCTCCGTCTCTCTTTTCCTCTTTCCCTCCTTCCTTCCACCCTTCCTTTTTTAACTTTTTAAATTGTAACCTTAAGTTAAGATCTTTCTTCTCTGCTATGAACATTAACATTTTCATTCTAAGCACTACTTTAGCTGCAACACCTCAATTTGCATCTATTTTTTTCCTTACTGTGTAATTAGAAATATTTTCTAACACCTTTGTCAATTCCTCTTTGACCAATAGATTGTTTTGAAATATATTGTTTTAGTTTGCAAATTCTTGTTTTATTTTTTTTTTTCTTTTCCGCCTAGATATATTTGATTTCTAACATAATACCACTGTGGTCAGAGGAAATATTTATACATAATTTCAGTTATTTTAAATGTATTGGGACATGTTTTATGACCTAATGTATGGCCTATTTTGGTGAGTGAATCATGTGTCTTTGAAAAGAATATGTATTCTGCAGTTCTTATGTGTAGGGTTGTATAAATGTCATGAAATCAAAGTGATCGATAGCTAAAATTAGTTTTGATTTGCAATGATAGAAGTTTATCTTAAGGACACCCAGAAACATGAAGTATGACAGGAAATTCGTCAGTGGTCTCTTTGCTCTCTGGATTCCCATCCTTAAAGTCTAGGAAGCACTGTAGGGTTCAAAACTCAGCATGAATTTTACTTACAGTCCAGTAGAATGGCTAACTCAAACGAGACACCATCCATTTTGTTTAGCTTATGTTGAGTATCTCCAACAGTATAATATATTCTGATTTTTAAAAAATTGCAAATTGAATGGATTACAATTTTAACAAATCCCAATTCAAAAACAAAAGTGTATAATCACTCCATGTCTGCATCCTACTCCCCAGAAGAAATTTTACTCTTAAGGATTCTAGTATCTATCTGTTCAATCTTTATAGTATTTTGCTTTAACATTACTAAAAGTGTAAGAGTAGCTCTGATTCATAAATACAGAAAATTCAGAGTTCTTGTTTAATATTTATAACCTAGTTTAACCCCCTAAAAAAGAAACTCATTGCCGTCAAGTCGATTCCAACTCATAGCGACCCTATAGGACAGAGTAGAATTGCCCCATAGGGTTTCCAAGGCTGTAAATCTTTACGGAAGCAGACAGCCCCATCCTTCTCCTGCAGAGCGGTTGGTAGGTTTGAACCTCCGACCTTTTGGTTAGCAGCCGAGTGCTTTAACCACTCTGCTACCAGGTCTCCTATAATCTAGTTTACTTTATTAAAAATGGAAATTTTGATTTGCTGAGAAAAGACTTATTTGTTTAAGGAGGAGACATAATGACCTGGAACATTACATTTTATCTACTAATTGTGATTCACGTCAGCTTCGCAATTCAGATAAAATATATGCATTCACTCCTTACCTTGATCCCCTGTTAAAAGTGTAGGGTGAAAGAATGGGAAGGTGAAAACTGAAAGTGGTAGGAACTCTAAGTAGTGTCAAAAAAAACAAAAAACAAAAAAACCAGAACACATTGCCATCAAGTCAATTCTGACCCACAGCGACCCTAGAGGACAGAGTAGAACTGCTCCAGAGGGTTTCCAAGAAGCAGCTGGTGAACTTAAACCCCCGACCTTTCGGTTAGCAGCCCTATCACTTAACCACTGCACCACCAGGGCTCCCTAAGTAGTGTATTGCCTGCTTAAAAGGGGACAATTTGTTTAAATTCAAATTTTGACCTATGAAAGGAGAGTCTATGGTTTGCTAGCAGAGACCATGACTATACTTCAGAACAAAACAACTGGACCACATGGAGTTTGATCCTATAACCTTCTCTACTCTAACCAACAAAATTAACAAACCACTATATGAAAAAATTTTAAATAATGGATTTTGTTTTCTCCTCCCAGGATGCTGAATGTGCCTATTTTCCTTTTCCTGAACTTCTTCCACTGAGAACTGCTTTAATTCTCCACCTTCAACACAATACTAACATAGATGTTCAAACCGAGATTTCTGGATGCTTATCACTAGAGTGGGAACTTTTCTTGGAAGAGCGTCACCCGTATTTCTTGATAGTTTCGGATGAAGGCCTGAATGATCTACAAACACACCTTTTTAACTTTTTAATTATACACTCCTGGGGAATGGGAGTCCATGTTGTGCTCTCGTCGGGGCAAGAATCTGATAGTCTCAAACTTTATGCGTACATTATGCAGAGCACGAAGAGAAACCAAAAGTTTTCTAAGGAGGTAATTTATATTTATAAATCTCATTTTTTTTTATCCTGAAATTTTTCTTTTTTAATTCTTAAAATAAGTTAATTCAATATTCTTTCCATGCTACTTCTGGAATTTACAGTCTCAGAAGAGATAATAAATTTAATAACACTAACAATGATTGCAATAAGCATACATTGCAATTTTACAATATACTAGATTCTTTCCATGAATTATCTCTTAATTCTAGTAATAATCCTGTGAGGTAGGTGGTATTATCATTTCTATCCCACAGATCTTCATCTGTAAAATGAAAGTTACAGAGGTGAAGTCACTTGCTCACGGTCATATTAGTGAGTGATTGACAATGAATTTCAGCAGAAAAAGTACAACTCCAGCTTCTGTGGATAAACCACTGGGCTCCAGCCTTTTAAATAATGGAAAGTTCACAGTGTATTTAACTGGGGCCAGATTTAGAGGTCCATGTATCTAAGACAGACTAATGAAACAATGCTAACACCGAGGCCTTTAATGGGAAATAAATGAAAAATGTTATCAATGAAGAAGGAAATAAAATGATTTTATTTCTTAATGTTAAGTCACCAATTCTGTAGAATTTTCAAGACATTTTAGAATTTTAATTCCATGACTTACTCAGCATTTTGGTATAGGTTTTATACAGCAACTGTTGCATATAACATTGAGGTCAAACATGCTCTAATGATCTTATGAGTAAGTCTAGTTTTTATTTTAATTTTCACATTTTAAAATGAATTCTGATTGTGGATGTTATTCAATACTTCATCAGAAATTATCTTGCAATCCAATTTATATTTTAGCTGTATTGTAGCAAATCCTCATCTTTTTGAAATGGTGACACCACGTGGTTTTTTGTTTGACTTTGAAAGTTGTCTTCTAAACGTGCAGTATGGCAGTAAAAAGCAATTAAAACTCATGTTTGGAGAAACAGCTTTCATGACAATTGGAAGCATACACTGGCGGTCATGCTTTTAGAGTGGCCCTTTCGCTTCCATTGCATTTCTATGATGAAAATATTTTCCAAGATTTTTGCCTACTATTAGCAGTAGAAACTTGAGAATTCACTTTCACCTTGGGAGAAGTTACTGCTCTCAGTAAATCTCTATTTTCCGTGAGAAATACCAGCCTCCGACTTTTAGGAATCCAGTACTAGGACCCTGCTTGGTCTCTGTTAACAATGTATATATATTTTTGGTTTTGTTTCTCAAGAGAGGATTTTATTTTCTGTAAAATTATTTTCTGATTTATTGACTGTAATCACTTCCCTAAAAGAAGTGACTTTTGGTCTATTTAAATCGGTCTCTGAAAGAACACCAAAATTGTGTTATATGTGATAATTGTTGAGGATGGTTGACGGATATACGAAAGGGGAGTATACTATTTTCTCTGATTTTCTATACTTTTTAAAACTTTATAATAACAAAAAATGCACCGTACCCTTAAATAAAAATTAAATCGACAAAGAGGAAATATTAATGTTTATCATAGCTTAAATGAAATGGTCCTCGAGACACATGAGGGCAATTTTATTTAACGTACATTGTAACATATATAGAATTCAAATATCTCCTTTTTTTGTAGCTGGGAAAAATGGTAATTCATTTAAAGCATTTTATATAATTGTCTCTCTTTTACAGAATCAAATGATGAGTCAGAGTGCTTATAAAAGCCTTATACAACACTTGGAAGAAGACAAAATTTTAGCATTAACATCTCACTTTGGACATTTAAGATGGGAAGATATGGTAGAAGAGGTGCAGAAACATTTATTCCTTCAAGTAAAAGTCTGACAGAATTTGATAAGTAAAAAGCTATTTGTGAGTAGTCTAGGGCTTTAGACTAGGCTGAACAGTGCCTCAATAGATATATAATGTCTGAATCTTAGAATCTCATGCTCTTAATGCAGCTTGAATTGATCAGATGACATACGCTGTATAAGGTTCACTTCCGGGAACCACATTTTAAGACATTTGCCATATCATATCAACAGTCAAAATGAGACATAGTTATACCTTAAATCTAATTTCGTTTATATCACCTCAGACAATGCTTTGCAATACTCCTTCTCCTGATGGATACTATCTAAAATCACTCTTTTATTGCTTTATTCTTATTTTTTCAGGAGAAGCAGTAAGATTCCTTACTTTTCTATGTATTCAGAATTCCCAGAAATTGACTCAAAATTAGATCAAGAGGCATTGACCAATTCAATGATATTGATACATATTGCCAAATAGCTTTGCAGAATTCTATACCTACCTATACTTTCACTTGCAAGTATAAAAGAAATAATGCATCACACAATTTTTAATGCTATATTGTTATTTAAAATAATTTGATATTCAAAACAGCATCTAATTACTCTTTCAACATATTTCTTCGTTCGTAAGATTGAATTATTTTAACATTTTTATTAGTACTTTGTATTTCTTTCTTTGTGAATTGTTCATGCCTTGCTAAAGTCATGTACTTTCTTGCTGAGTTACTTCAGTTTTTTACAGATTCAGGTTTACGGTGACTCTCTGGCATATTCAATTAATTAATTTTCAATTTTTTGTCATTAAAATGATTTTAAATTTTTAAACATAAATATTTACAGTTCTATGTCGTTAGAGCTATACTTTTTTTTTTCCTGTATGGTTTCTTCCAGCAGTAATATTTCTGAGTGAGAAACATATTTCTAAATAATTTGACAGTTGAAAAATGTTCTTCTCCAGCAGGCACATGAGACTATCTTTCTGCTCAGGCAACTCTGGCCACAAGGCTCTGATATCCGGAGTGTTCTCTGTGTTACTTTATGTTCATTGTCCTTGGGAAGGTACCATTGCTTCTTAGAAAACAAAAAGAAGAGAGCCTCCGATCAGGAAACTAGTGTTCGTCAGGTATGGTGGGTAGGACTTCATTTGGGCAAAATCTGGGTTTTCACTTTTGAAATAACTCTTGGCTTCTGACTACCATTTTCCTCATTTGGCATTTAGTCCCCCCCCCCCCCACCTAATTTATATATATTAATTATCCAAAAAAGGAAATATTAGAATGTGTTTATAAGAAAACAGTGCATTATATAACTTAGTATTTGTCTTAGAAAATAATGCACAGGAAGTTTTATCTGCTGTTTCACCTAACACTCATTCAGCCTAATTCTTCTAATCATTAGAGAAAGGAAGAAGAAGAAATGAACTAAATTTTGGGGGAAGCCTACTACGTACCTCTGTTTTGAGATTTTTAAGTACCTGATGTCATTTAACCTTCCAACACATTTTCAGTATAGGCATTATTGCTCTCTTCTACCAATTTGTGTCACTGATGCTCGGACGTCAGTGGCATACCTAAAATTACCTGGCAAAAGGCAGCTTGGGTTTTTACAAGGATGGTTGGCCTAGTTCCACTATGCACGCACACACACACACACACACACACACACACACACACACAGAATTTTGTATGCCGTCTGGATATTGCTGTATTCTAAGCTAAATAACCAACTTCTAAAAAAATAAATGTAACTGCACAGGACTCAAGGAATTAGTATTCTATGGGAGAGGATTGTAGTTTTTAGTATCTATCAGCATGTATTTACTGAGTATTTGTGCTTGGTACTATGTTATGCACCTTGGAGAGAGAGAAGAAATAGACATAGTAGTTACCAAAACTGATCACAAATTCCTTGGAAGGTAATTTTAATTTTTCTTTGGAATTGCTAGAGGAACTCCAGGCTCACATATCCACCTGCCTACTCAACCTTCCACTTGGACGTGTAGTAGACATCTCACATTTAACATATCTGGAACTAAATCCCTCAGACTTGCTTCTTCCTCCCTTTTCCCCATCCCAACAAAGCACCATCCTTCTAGTTACTCAAGAAAAATAAAAAATAAAAATGCTGTTAACTATTGGGACATACCATAGAGAGTGCAGAGTAGCAAACAGGACAACTGCAATGAGCTGTGAACTTTTGGTGATTCTTCCTTCTTTATTCTTTCCTGTATTTAGTTTTGCCCTCTCTGACTTTAATTTTACCGAGAATGATAATGTATATTTATTTACTTATTCAGCTAAAATTTACTGAGTGACTGATATGTGGTGGCGGCATTGATAGTTCAATTGTAGAATTCTCATGTTGCATGTGGGAGACCTGCTTCAATGCTCGGCCAGTGCAACTCGTGTGCAGTCACTACCCGTAGGTTAGTGGTAGCTTGTGTGTTGCTATGATACTAAGCAGGCTTTAGCAGAGCTTCCAGATTAAGACAGACTAGGAAGAAGAACCTGCTAATCTACTTCCAAAAATAAGCCAATGAAAACCCTATGTATCACAATGGTTTGATCTGCAAAGATTAACAAAATTGACAAACCACTGCCAAACTAACAAAAGAAAAATACGATAGGAAGCAAATAATCCAAAGAAGAAATGAGATGGGGGACATTACAACAGACACAACTGACATAAGAAGGATCATAACAGAATACTATGAAAAATTGTACTCCAACAAATTTGAGAACCAAGAGGAAATGGACAAATTTCTAGAAACACACTACCTACCTAAACTAACACAAACATTCGGAGAAGACTCACACCAAACCAAACCAGCACTGCTCAAAATATTTCAGAACATAGAAAAGGAAGGAATACTCCTGAATTCATTCTATGAAGCCAGCATATCCCTGCTACCAAAGCCAGGCAAAGACACCACAAAAAAAGAAAATTACAGACCAATGTCTCTCATGAATATAGATGCAAAAATTCTCAACAAACTTTTAACCAATAGAATTAAGCATCATATCAAAAAAATAATACATCAGGACCAAGTGAGATTCATACCAGGTATGCAAGGATGGTTCAACAGTAGAAAATCAATCAATGTAATTCACCACATAAATAGAATAAAAGAAAAGAATCACATGATCATCTCAATTAACACAGAAAAAGCATTTGATAAAGTCCGTCACCAATTCCTGAGAAAAATTCTCAATAAAACAGGAATAGAAGGGAAATTCCTGAACATAACAAAGGGCAACTATACAAAACCAACAGCCAACATTATTCTTAATGGAGACAGGCTGAAAACATTCCCCTTGAGAACATGAACAAGACAAGGATGCCCTTCATCACCATTCCTATTTAACATTGTGCTGGAAGTCCTAGCTGGAGCAACAGGGCAAGAAAAAGAAATAAAGGGCATCGAAACTGGAAAGATGGAAAAACTAATCACCCACTTAATATGGAAAGGAAAGAGGTCTGGGATAAGCAAAGGATTATTGAAGAAAAAGAACAAAGTAGGAGGCCTCACACCACCTGATCTCAGAACCTACTATACATTCATGGTAGTCAAAACAGACTGGTATTGGTACAATGACAGACACATAGACCTATTGAACAGAATCGAGAACACAGATATAAATCCATCCACCTATGGTTGGCCGATTTTTTACAAAAGACCAAAATCCATTTAAACAGGGGAAAGATAGTCTTTTTAACAAACAATGCTGGCAAAACTGGATGTCCATCTGCAAAAAAATGAAACAGGACCCATACCTCAAACCATACAACTCAAAATGGATCAAAGACCTAAATATAAAACCTAAAAGGATAAAGATCATGGAAGAAAAAATAGAGACAGTGCTAGGGGCCCTGATACATGGCATAAATAGACTATAAACCATAAGTAACAATGCACAAACAACAGAAGATAAACTAGATAACTGGTTTCTTCTAAAAATTAAACACTTATGCTCATCAAAAGACTTCACCAAAAGAGTAAAAAGAGAACTTACAGACTGGGAAAAAAATTTTGGCTACCACATATCCAATGGGGGTCTAATCTCTAAACTCTATAAAATACTTCAACACCTCAACAACAAAAAGACAAACAATGCAATTAAACTGGACAAAGGACATCTAAGATACTCCACTGGTTTCATCCCGTCTGGAGCAAGGGAGAATGAAGAAAACCAAAGACACAAGGAAAATATTAGTCCAAAGGAATAATGGACCACATGAACCACAGCCTCCACCAGTCTAAGCCAGAATAACTAGATGGTGCCTGGTTATCATCACTGACCACTCTGACAGGGATCACAATAGAGAGTCCCAGACACAGCAGGAGAAAAATGTAGAACAAAATTCAAATTCACAAAAAAGACCAGACTTACAGAGTCTGACAGAGACTGGATGAACCTCCAAGACTATGGCTCCCAGATAGCCTGCAAACTCAAAACTGAAGCCACCCTCAAAGTCCACCTTTCAGCCAAGATTAGACAGGCCTATATAGCAAGCAATAACACAAGTGAGGAACATGCTTCTTAGTTCAATCAAGTGTATAAGACCAAATGAGCAATACCTGCCCAAAAGCAAAGATAAGAATGCAGGAAGAGACAGGAAAACTGGATGAATGGACACAAGGAACCAGGGGTGAAAAGGGGGAGAGTGCTGACACATTGCAGGGATTGCAACCGATGTCACAAAACAATCTGTGTATAAATTTTTGAATGAGAAACTAATATGCACTGTAAACTTTCACCTAAAGCACAATTTAAAAAAAAAATGTAAAAAGAAAAACCCCCAAAAACCCTTTACCTAGTAATGGGACTCTATTCAGCATGATTCCCTGATTTTTAAGAACATAATTAAATATTATGATTATCTTAATGTACTGATTTTGATGGTCTGTGGAAGAAGTGCTCTGAGTTGGATCTGTCATGCAAGTGTGAACAGCATGCAACTTAGGGTTCTGGATATGAAATGTGCTTTCTTGACAAAGCTTATATTTGATTAATTTGCCTCTTTCTCACACAGTATCAGAGACGGACAGAGCCCACTATCTCATTCGATTCTCCTCCAATATCGGCTTAAATGTCTTCGGAGAAACATTATCATATGACAGTACATTATTTTTTAAAAAATTTTTTGCCATGATTACTTTTTTAAAATTATTATTATTATACTTTAGTTGAAGGTTTACAGAATAGACTAGATTCTTATTAAACAGTTAATACATATATTGTTTTTGACATTGGTTACCAACCCCGCAGCCTGTCAACACTACCCTTCTCGAACTTGGGTTCCCCATTACCAGCTCTCCTGTCCCCTGCTGCCTTCTAGTCCTTGTCCCTGGGCTGGTGTGCCCCTTTAGTCTTGTTTTGCTTTATAGGCCTGTCTAATCTTTGGCTAAAGGGTGACCCTCAGGAGTGACTTCATTACTGAGCTACAAGGGTGTCCGGGGGCCATACTCTCGGGGTTTCTTCAGTCTCTGTCAGGCCAGTAAGTCTGGTCTTCTTTTGTGAGTTAGAATTTTGTTCTACATTTTTCTCTGGCTCTCTTTGTGATCCCTGTCAGAGCAGTTGGTGGTGGTATCCTGGCACCATCTAGTTGTATAGCACTTAGTCTGGTAGAGGCTGTGGTAGATGTTGACCATTATTCCTTTGGACTAATCTTTCCCTTGTGTCTTTGGTTTTCTTCATTCTCCCTTGCTCCCAATGGGGTGAGACCAGTGGAGTATATTAGATGGCCATTTACAAGGTTTTAAGATCCCAGACACTACTCACCAAAGTAGAAAGTAGAACATTTTCTTTATAAAACTATGTTATGACAATTGAGCTAGTTGTTCCCTGAGACCAAGTACATGAAATTTTTAATAGTTTTAATTAGAAAAAAATGAATATATTGAACCCAAATCAATCCCGCTGAAACTTCTATTCATTATTCCCAGTTTGGCCCTGTGGAGATACCTTAGTTATCTAGTGCTGCTGTAACAGAAATACTACAAGTGGATGACTTTAACAAAGAGAAATTTATTCTCTCACAGTGTCGGAAGCTAGAAGTTCAAACTCAGGGTGCCAGCTCCAGGGGAAGGCTTTCTCTCTCTGTTAACTCTGGGGAAGTCCTTGTTATCAATCTTCCCTGGTCAAGAAGCTTCTCAGTGCAGGGACCGCAGGTCCAAAAGAAATGCTATTCTCCTGGCTTTTGCTTCTTTATGTTATGAGGTCTCCATGTCTCTCTGATTGCTTCTGTCTTTTATATCTCAAAAGAGATTGGCTTAAGACACAATCTAATCTTGTAGATTGAGTCCTGCCTCATTAACATAACAGCCTCTAATCCTACCGCCTTAACATCATAGAGATAGGATTTACAACACATAGGAAAATCACATCAGATGACAAAATGGTGGACAATCACACAATACTGGGAATCATAGCCTAGCCATTTTGACAGATATTTTGAGGGGACACAATTCAATCCATGACAATACCCAAATTAAGTCTTATCTCTTTTCCATGTACTATTGTTGTTGTTAGCCAATGTCCTGTTGGCCCCCAACCCATGGTGACCCCAAGCACAACAGAACAAAACACTGCCTAGTCTGGAGCCATCATCCCCCATGATCAGTTGCAGATTGTGTCATTATGATCCATATGCTTTCCATGGGCTGATTTTTAGAAATAGATTGCCAGGTCTTCCTTCCTAGTCTGTCTCATTTTGGAAGCTCTGCTGAAAACTGTTTGCCATCGTAACAACATGCGAGCCTCCACTGACAGATGGGTGGTGGCTGAATAGAAGGTGCATTACCAACCCTTCACATATTTGAAAATAGCTCTGAAATCTCTGCCACAAGAAGCTAAATATGATTATTTCCTTCTACCATTGCTCTTCAACGTGTTTTTCAGATAAGTGAATATGCTATGGTTTTGTTGTTATTACTCTTGATACTCTGAACTGGTAGAGCATTTTTGTGGGACTCAATTGGAGTCCTAGTGGAGTAGTGGTTAGAGCTTGGCTACTAACCAAAAGGTCAGCAGTTCAAACCCACCTGCTGCCACTTGGAAGCCCTATGGAGGCAGTTCTACTCTGTCCTCATAGGGTCCCTATGAGTCGGAATTGACTCAACGCCAACAGATTTGGTTTGGTTTTGAGTATCAGTGCAAAGGTGTCTGGGTCAATGACCACCTTTTCTGCGGACACAACAGCTTTCCTTATCTGTTTTCTCAACTCATTTCAAGTTAGGCTTATCTGAATATTCTGAAAAATGCTTATGTGAACTGCTGGTAAACCAGGAGTTTCCCTTCCCTCTGCCATCTCCCTCTATAAAGATGCAATTGAGTTTGTGTATGAAGAGGACTTTTTCAAAAATGTAGACTGAAGAGTCTGATCATGTGTGACTCTTCCACAACAAAACATGGCTGGTCACTTGTGTGGTGCTGACATTTATACACAATTCCATAGCCTGGTGTTCTCTGACTTGCTTTCCTTATTTCATGCAGGTGGACACTGATTGCTCAGCGCTGCAGGAGGTGGAAGATCTGTGTAGACTACACTGCCTCAGCATAGCTTTTCTGCTCCGCTTACCTCTATCTCAAAGAGCTCAGACCCGAGTCATCACTTCCCATTGGATTCAGAATATTCAGACTTTCTTAAAAATGGTAAACAGACTTTATACTAGTTTATTGTTTCAACATGAGAGATGAAAATCATGATCACCATTAAAAGCAGATTTACTTTGGAATAGCATCAGGTCTAATGAGCTGTAATAAATTATCTATATTAAAGAATATCAAGATCTATCTGTTCTCAGAAGACACGAGAACTTTCCCATTTTTCCTTCCCTGACTCTCTGACAAGACCATGTTTTTGTTTCATCAACCGTAGAAAATTACTTGGTTGATGTTCTATTCTTGGTTTAGTTACGGAGTGCTGCGGTAACACAAATACTACCAATGAGTGGCTTTAAAGAACAGAACGTTGTTTTCTCACAGTTCAGGAAGCTAGAAACGTGAATTCAGGGCATGGTTCTAGGGGGAGTTCCTTCCTTGCCTATTTCAGCTTCAAGGAGCTGCCAGCAGTCCTTGTAGATACATCTGTCTCTGTGGGCTGTCTTCCTCTTCTCCTTGTGTGTGTCTGGGTCCATTCTGCTCTTTTTATAACTCAGAAGTGATTAGATTTAGAACCCACCCAACTTGGGTCTGACCTTGTTAACATAACAACAAAAACTCTGTTTTCAGACAGGATCATACTTATAGGTATAAAAAGAAAAACAAACCTGTTCCCGTAGAGTCAATTCCAACTCACAGCGACCCTATTTACAGGTATAGGGGCCAGGATCTCAATACATGCTTTGTTCAATCCATACAATTCTGTTCTTAGAGAAACTGAGGAAGCCAATTTATGACTTTATTTTTTTCTGTTTATTATAAAAACATTTGAAAGAAAAGTTGAAAAGTGTAGAAAAATACATACTATGTACTCATAGCCTCACCACTCAAATCAGTACTGTAAACTGTTAATACTTTGGTTTAATTTCTTCATGCTTTTTTTTAGGGTATAGATTTGTTGTGCTTGTTTCTTATATGACTGCACTCCTATATATTATATATTCTTTTATTTTAAAGTTCTTTTCACTTTTTTTTTCATAGTATTGGTTAGCAACTTGATAGATTCCCTGAAGTGGGATTACTGTCCAAAGGCATGGAAAATTTTGAGAATCTTGATACATATTGTCAAATTGTCAGCAAAGACCTTTTATAACCAATCTGTCAGGAAGCCAGTCCACACATGTTTCCTCAATGCGTATTCACTGTGCTGACCCACAGGTAGAGTGGAGAAAAAAATACACACACATTTCCCCACCCTACTCCTTCCATGGAGCTTTAGTTTGCAAGGAATTCTGATGTCGCTACAATAACTAATAAAATAATTCCAAGTGTGAAAATAGTACCCAGAGGGAAGTAGAGGATGCTTTAGAAACTAATGTTAGTCCAGATTTACTCAATGTGGAACAGATGGGTTCTCTGAAGAACTGAAGAGAAGTGAAGTAACCCAAGGCCTGTAGACAAGTAGGAGTTAGCTAGGGGAAGAGAGGAAGCAAAGGTTTTCAAGAGACAAAGCAGCATGTGTGAATGTCCTAAGATCACAAGGATCGGAGATGATGTTCAGTGTGACTAGAGAAGAGAAACGATGACAAAACTGGAGAGGTGGGTAGGAGAAACACTGTTTATCACTATTTGTGGTTGTTAAGGATTTAGGAAATCATAAATATAATGAGAAATTACTGACGAGTTTCAAGCTGGGAGTGACATTTTTTGTTTAAAAAGTTCTTCTGGTTGCAGTGCATAGAGTGCGTTCTAGACATACGAGGGTAAAGATGAGGAAACCGTTGAAATGATTATTTACGTAAGTGATGATAGTAACGTGGGTGAAGCTGGTGGCAATAGGGATGAGTAGAAGTGGAAAATGCAAGAGTTATTTAGGCTGTGGACCTGACAAGGTTAAGTAATTGGCATAAGGGAAAGGGAAGTGGGAAAGGTGACTTCCATATTATTGTTTGACCAATTGTGTGGATGTTGCCATTGGAAGAACATTTTGAGGTGGAAATGAGTTTTGGGAACAGTATGAGGCAGCCATGAGAAATCCAAAAGGATCTATCTAGAAGGCAGTGTAAGTGTGCTTTGGGCTGGAAATAAGGATTTGGGACTCTTTAGCCTAGGGATGGTACTAGACACTATGCCAGTTATACGTTGTAGAATAAAAAGAGAGGAGGTCTTGGTTCAGGGTCCTGAGATATTCCAAAATTTAATGGTCAGGTGGGGGTGTAAGAATTGGAAGAAGACACTAAAAAGAAGTTACTATGATAAATGGTAGAAAATTAGCAGAATGTGTTATCATGGAGGTCAAATATATTGAGTTTTTTAAAAAAAGAGGAAATGGTTTACATGTCAAATTCTGCAGATAGTTTAAGGAAGCTGAGGATAGAAAACGTGTACTGAATTTAATGACATAGGAGTCATGGTTGGTTATTATTATTTGGTAGAGTGGTGGGATGCAGAGTCCACATTGGAATGTTTAACATGAGTAGAAGATATAAAGAGGATACTGTAGACAACTCTTTTCTTGGAGTTGGTTTTGATTTTGGTTCATCTCTAATCTTTTTGATTTTAACAACTTTATCAGGCTACCCAGAAATATCCCTATTGACATACCTTATGGGGAAGTTACAAAGGTTATGAAATCATTATATGACTCCTTGCTAATAATGTTAATTTTCAATTTTCAGAAAAAATGGTGTGAATACTTTATTCTAAGAAATATAAGCAAATTTGGATCTTGGAATCTGAATCTAAAGCATCTTTCTGACCTAAACGATGAGCATTTGTTAAAGAATATTGCCTTTTTCTACGAAACGGAAAATGTTCAAGGTAACACCTTAATATACATTAAAATTATATCATTAAGTCAGAGATCTACCAAAATTATACAAAAGCCTTCAAAATTTTCCAAGACATAACACAGTGACATTTTTGTTTCATCCAGTTTCCGTCGTAGATATATATAATTTTTGCATATTTTGCCTTTTCTTCGCTCCATATTATTTTTAAAAAAAATTGAGTTTGATGTTATAATATTGATAGATGTATTTTTCATTTATATGGGTTCATGATATTTTTTATAATACTGCAATTAATACAATCTTGTCACTATTTTTGAATATTTAAGCATGCTTTTCCTAAAAACAAAGCTGCTTGAAACATCTTGCAAATATAATTTTTTCTTTTTTTCACTGATTTTCCTAGAATAAATTATCTGAAGTGGCTTATATAGTCAAAGAATAATGAAACACTTTCTAAACATTTTTCCTGAATGCACATTATTAAAGTTTCTTTAGCCTCTGGGATTTAACTACCTTTGATGGCAAGCATTGGGATGTACTGACTACACAAAATTTAGCAACCATTACTAGTTTTTTCCTTCTTTTTTTAATTCTCACCCTCCAGGAACTCTGTAGCCTCTCAAGAAACTGGTTTTTAAATTGCAAACTTATATGTGGCATATTGCTCTTCGTTATTTAAGAGAATAATTATATATTCATCATTGACGTTATTTAATAAGGAACAGAGCTATAGTTGTAACCCTCAGTAATTAAATATAAAGACAAAATGATTTTTAAAAACCACTGCTATATTGTTATTGCTACTTTTTATGTAGATGTACTGTGGGACACACTTTAAGTTTTACTATCTGACAGTCTTTCCGCAGCTGTATGAATTTAGTCCAAAAATGGTGCTTGTGTGTGTGGGGTGCGGGAGAGGGCAGTAATGACCTTTAAGGCTTTAATAGTTTTAATTTTTATGCAGAGATATATTTGAATTTGGGAGATTTCATTAAGAGAGATTATGAACACTTGTGGAATTCTGTGTCCCACCTGGTTAAAGAATTTAATGTTGGAAAGCCTTTTCCTTTGAGAACAACAGCAGGATATTTTCTTGGAAAGACATCATCACCAATTCAAGGTAAAAAGTCACCAGATTAAACTGAAATAAAAGCATGTTTACTCTGCAAATTATTTAGAAGCTCTAATAATTCAATTCTTAAAAGTATAGTTGTCTTTTATTATGCATTTTTGTTCACGTCTGAATTGTTATAAAATATACACATTTAAGTGTGTAAAGTAAATCAATTTTAAGTGCACAGGTCTATGAGTTTTTACATATCTTTGTGTATGTATAGGGTAGTCATGAGTCAGAATTGACTCGAAGGCAACGGGTTTGGTTTTGGTTTCATCTATGTCTAGGAGGCTTGGTGGCACAGTGGTTAAGAGCTCAGCTGCTAACCAGAAGGTTGGCAGTTCAAATCCACCAGCTGCTCCTTGGAAACCCTAGGGGGCAGTTCTACTCTGTTGTATAGAGTTGCTATGAGTCAGAATTGACTCGACGGCAACGGGTTTAGTTTGACTTTTTGAGCTATATCTATATCTCTGTCTATGTCTGTGTCTATATCATCAGTATCGAATCACCACATGATTGTCTTAGGCTGAGTTCTCTAGAGAAGCAAAACCAGTGAAGCATATACGTATATATAGAGAGAGATTTATATCAAGGAAATGGCTCACAAAGTTGTAGAGGCTAGGAAGTCCCAAACCTGTGGGTCAGGCTGGAGGTTTCTCATGACTCACATAGCTGCAGGAGCTGGCGAACTCAAGATCCAGACCTAGGAGGCTGACAAATCCCAAGATCGGCAGCAAGTGCTAGCTCAAGTCCCAAGAGCCGAGGTCAGTTGAACAGGAGCCAGCTGCAGGATCCAGAGTGAGCAAAGCCCATGAGCCTTGCCAGAAGGTCCACCTATATTGGATGCAGGCAACAACCCCAAGAAAACTCCCTTTCAACTGATTGGCTACTCACAGCAAATCCCATCATGGGGTGATCCCATTATATCAGATCTCATAACGAAAATGATTACATCATTATACGACTGCCAGACTACATCATAACTGCCAGACCACTGAGAATCATGGCCCAGCCAAGTTGACACACAACCTTAATGATCACAATGATATAGAGCATTTCTAGCACCTGAGAAAGTTCCCTGATGCCACTTCCCAGTCGATCCTATCCGTACCCCCTCACTTCTTCAAGGTAAACACTATTCCAACTTCAACACCTATTTTGAGCTTCATTTGAATGAAATCATATAGTATATACCCTTTGTATCTGGCTTTCTCCACTCACGTAATGTATGAGAGATTCATGCATGTTGTATTTATGAGTATTTTATTTAAAATTATCATCGCTACAATGTATCCCCTTGTATGAATATACCACAATTAATTTATCCATTTGGGACATTTCCCAGTTATTGGGTGTTATGCATAAAACCATTAATGAACATTCTTATACATATTTTTAGGTAGATATGAGCATGTGTTTATTTTTTTAGTATATACATAGAAGTGCAGTTTTAGGAGTGACCGCTACTACCAAAACGTTTTCTAAGGTGGTTGTACCAGCTTACACTCCACCGTCAACATGGGCATTTTTGAGTTGTGAACATTTGTTATTGTTGAGCTTTTTAATTTTGGCCATTTTGATGGGTGCATAATGGCAGCTCACTGTGGTTTAAATTTTCGTTTCTTTGATGAGTGACGAGATTGAGTGGCATTTCATATAAGATTGGCCATTTAGATATCCACTTCTGTGAAGTGCCTGATCAAGTCTTTTGCCCATTTAAAAAATATACATTGTCAATATTTCATAGTTTACTCCATGATTCATCTTAAATTGTTTTGTGTGTATGGTGTGAGGGAGGAGTTATTTCTGAACCTCTATTCTATTTCACTGGTCTATCCTTGAATCTTCTTTATCCTTAAGCCAACCACATGACAAGGTGCAGAAACAAATGCAAACATATTCATAACACAATAAGGAAGAAATACTCGTATCTATTACAGTCCTTGTTTCTGCACATGGTCAAGTAGTTGTAGCTGGTATTTACAGCTACCTTCTTCCACTACCCATTCCATATTTCCTTTGCCCTTAGCAAATATTTGTGCTAAGGAGGCCCCAGGGGATATCTTGATTTCAGGCATACTTGGTTACCTCCACTGTGTAGTAGCAACCCAATTTCCCATTAGTAATCAGGACCGGTAACTCTAGCCAGTATAGTAACTCCCTTCTGTGTCTACTGGTTCATAGAGAGAAAGAGCCCCAAATGGCCAGCTAGCAGTCTCAAATTACAGTTCAATGGAATCATTGTTGTTTCTCTTGGTGGGAGCATTCTTCTCTTTAGAAGTAAGGCCTCTAGACCAGCAGAGCATAAGGTCACAAGGACAGGAAGCAAAAATTTTGCTAGTAGATCACTAGCGGTAGTAGTGAGTAGAGCCACTTCCCATGTCCACCTTTTGATTATCGAACCCAACGAGAAGAAGAGAGGGCTGTGTGAGGGATGGTTGGTGTCAGAATTAGTAAAGATGGGGGAGAGAGGCGGCTTGTCTGGCCTCTGCTTCACGTGAGTCAGCCTTGCGTTGTTGATCTTGGTTCTCCTTCACCTTTGTGGGGTTTGGAAGAGGTCAGACACTGCCCCCATGCCGTTTTACCACTGCCCTTCCAGGATTTCTCAGAAAGGGTCTGTAGTTCTGCAGCTGCCCACTTTTGGGTGGTGCCTGCATATCATGCAAAACCGTCTGTAAACCAAGCCCGAGTTTTCTTTTCTTCAGTCAACTGGTTGTAAGACACTCCCCGTAAGACCATAGGTGAAGGCCAGGAGAGGGAATGTAATGTGGCAAAAGTAGGGACCATGGGTACTTGGGTCACTTCCTCATGTAACTTACTTGTGCATTCAAGGTCTGTTTGAGCGTGATCTTACATATACCATTTCCACTTTATAATGGAGTGCTGCTTTGCAGGCTCAACTTTATGGACTGATAAAGCACACAACACTCAGTTCATAACATGTAGCTCAGTTCACATGGTAACTTGGTGGCCCATGTTTAAGCGTTCAGTCTCTATTAAGGCCCAGTAGCAGGGAAAAAGATGCTTCACAAATGGAGAATAGTTATCTGCAGAGGATGGCAGTGCTTTGCTCCAAAATTCTAAATTCTGTGATTCACCTATAGCAGCCTGTCAAAGACTCCAGATAGCATCTCTATTGGCCACCGCCCCTTTAAGCACCATCACAGCTGCAGGATCATATGGTTCAAGTGGCAGAGCAGCATGCACAGCAGAGTGGACCTGTTGCAGAGCCTTCTCTTGCTCTTGGCCTCACTCAAACTAGCAGCTTTTTGGGTCGCTTGGTAAACTGACCAGTGTGGCACCCCCACATGAAGAATATGTTGCCTCTAAAATCCAGAGGCACACTAGACGTTTTGTCTTTCTTTTTTTTTTTAATTGTGGGAGGGACCAGATGCAACAACTTATCTTTCACCTTAGAAGGGTTATCTCAGCATGCCCCACACCACTGGACCCCTAGGAATTTCACTGAGGTGGAAGGCACGTGAATTTTTGTCCAGTTAATTATCCACCCTCTAGCATGCAGATGTCTTACCAATAAGTCTAGAGTTGTTGATACTTCTTCCTTACTAGGTCAGATCAGCATAATGTCATCAATGTAGTGAACCAGTATGATGTCTTGTGGAAGGGAAAGGTGATCAAGGTCTCTTTAAATTATGGACTGTAATTTAGTCCCTGGACTAAATCCTTTAAATTACGGACTGTAATTTAATCCTCAGACTAAATTATGATGAAGGGCTGGAGAGTTGATATATCCCTAAAGTAGGGCAGTAAATGTGCATTGCCGACCTTGCAAGTGGAGAGCAAAATGCTTTTGGTGGTCTTTACTAACAGGTATGGAGAAAAAACATTTGCCAGATCAACAGCTACATATCAGGTACCAGGGATGTGTTAATTTGCTCAAGCAATGAAACCACATCTAGAACAGCAGCTGCAATTGGAGTCACCACCTGGTTAAGTGGATTATTATGATAATCCACTGTCATTCTCCAAGATTCATTGTTTCTTGCATAGGCCAAATAGGTGATTCAAAGGGGATGTCATGGGAATCACCACCCCTGCATCTTTCAAGTCCTTGATGGTGTCACTAATCTCTGCAATCCCACTAGGAATGTGGTATTGTTTTTAGTTTACTGTTTTCTTAGGTAGGGGCAGTTCTAATGGCTTCCACTTGGCCTTTGCTACTATAATAACCCTCAGGGAACCAGTATGATGTGATTATGCATTCCAGAACTGAGGAAATAGCCACAGATGGGTTTGGGCACCCTAGGGACCTACTGTAACATAGACTTGAGCTAAAACTCCATTGATCACCTGATCTCCAAAGCCCCTACTCTGACCAGTGGACCACAGTGACATTTTGGGTCTCCTGGTATTAGTGTCTGTTCAGAGTCAACTCCCCACCCACCTGCAAAGAAAAAAAAAAAGACCCATTGCCATCGAGTCAATTCCAACTCATAAGAACCCTATAGGACAGAGTAAAACTGCCCCATAGGGTTTCCAAGGCTGTAAATCTTTACGGAAGCAGACTGCCACATCTTTCTCCTGTGGAGCGGCTGGTGGGTTGGACAGCTGACTTTTCAGTCAGCAGCCGAGCGATTTAACCACTGTGCCACCAGGGTAGCTGGTTCAGAGCTAGTGTCCAGGAATTGCCGAAACATCCGATTATTTCCTTTTTCTCAGTCACTAGTCATCCTGGTAAAAGCCCATAGGTTCATTTGAAGAAGGCTGGGAAAAAGATTAATATTACACATTTTTGTCAGTGTAGCAGGGTCCTTCCTCAAGGAGACTTGGCCTCCCTATAATTCAAGGGATTCTATGTCTGTAAAAGCAGGGGCCCTGGTCACGCAGTGGTTAAGCACTTGGCTTCTGACCAAAAGGTCAGCGGTTTGAACCCACCAGCTGCTCCACAGGAGAAAGCTGTGGCCGTCCGCTTCTATAAAGATTACAGCCCTGGAAACCCTCGAGGGCAGTTCTACTCTGTCCTATAGCATTGCTATGAGTCAGAA